TATTTACCTATGAATGCCAGCTCTACCCCTGAAAAGAAGGTGACAGGCCACAAGATAACTCTTCATAGTCACGTCTTCCGTACATACTTTTGAGGCCATTCAGAGTGCCTCACCCTTTGACAAGGGTTTTTGAAACAAAAATAGAACTGCAAGCCTTGCATAAGAAGATGTTGAAGAAAGATCATTTATCAGCACTTACTCGCATGTAATAGGTAAAGGCCTGTTTTAGCAAGACGTATCTGTAGCATTCTGTGCTGCAGATTTCAGAGATTTTTTGTAAAGCATGGCTTAATAAGTCCCCAAGCTATCGTACAGAAGCTGGTATCTTACTTGTGCAATAGATCTGTAGGCCAATATTGTGGATCCACATTAGTGCCAAACATTCAAATGCAGTAAGAATGTTCTTATACACCCTCCACTCCAACCCCCAGTGATGGTCATGCTGTAAAAACTTTCTTGTGTGTCAGTGAGTTGGAGTGGAAGGGCTTATGTACCTATCCATGAGCACATAATGTACTTAAAACAAAATGACAACATACAGGGACTAAAACCACCCAGAGGTTCCTGAAAACACCTAGAGGTTCCTGGCTAGAGGGTCTGGCTCCTCTGCTCAGAATCAGAACAATTGCTACATTTGCCTTCCTCTGTATGGGCATGGCCCTCTTTCTTGGATCTCTTGAGGGTATTTTGACAATTACTTACTGCCTTTACAGCATCAGGACATTAGAAGTGCCTTCATCCCTCTGCTTTACCAGGGGCAAATTCCATTTTTTTCATGTATTGAGCATTTTACCCAATAGTTGTGCAAGGGGGATTTTCACAAGGTTTTTAAGAACAGTTTAAATGGGCACTTCTCTTGGATGGTTCAAATAGGGATGATCCTGCCTTGAAGGAGGGTTGGACTAGATGCCCACTTATCAAGCCTACTTTTCTGTGATTCTGATACTTCCTTGGAGACAGATATGAGGAAAGAAAGGAAGATATGCTTGTGTTTATAAAAAAAATGTATTCCGAGCATCTAACCTCCAAACTTTGGGTTATTTCCTTCACTGCTTTTGTTAGTTCATTTTTAAATCAGATGAGAAGAGTTAGCCATCGTTTGACCCCAGCATCCTTTCCTGCCCATGGCAGGGGTTTGGACTTGATGATCTGCTTGGGTTCTTTCCCACCCTACCAACTATGAAACTATGAGTTGGTTTAATCTTTCAATTCCCTCTATTTCATTAATGGAGGATGCTTAATGGCAGGTGATGCCATAGTTGGAATCTCCCAGCATTGGGCCCATGACCACGGAGCTGGCGCTGGGAGATAAAGATCTCCCTGCCCGGGTTCTGCAATCACAGGCCTTGGGCTGGGAGTTAAGGATCTCCCAGCCCCAGCCCCATGACCACGCAGCTGGTGCTGGGAGATAACTGTCTCCTAGCCTGGGTCCTGTGACCACGGGACTTGCACTGGGAGGTAAGCATCTCCCAGCCCTGGCCCCATGACTGTGGGACTCAGGTCTCCCAACCCTGGTCCTGTGATCAGGGAGTAGGGGCTGGGAGTTCACTGCTGCTGGGGCAGGGGGACATTGTCCTTGCCTGGGCTCTGGTGACGGAGCCTGCCCTGGCAGCAGGCAATTCCTGGGGGCAGGGAGCAATCTCCCGCCTCCTGCTGCCCAGCTGCACATCTGCTCCTGGTCAGGCGTCTACACATGTTCTACTGCACAGTTACTAATCATGAGTAAATTTGCTATTTGCTTTTGTAGGTAGCAAATTTACTCATGATTGGACCCAATTACTGCACAGTAAGCATCTGCACGTGTAGATGTGGACACTTACTGTGCAGTAATTAGCTCTACTGTGCAGTAAAGCATCTCATGTAGACGCGCCCAGTGTGAATGATCCTAACTGTAGCAAACGCAGTATTATAAAGTCACCTGATATCAAAAGAGATGTGTATATCAACTACATTAGTGCAAATAAAGATGGTACTCTTTCTACTAGAATTCAGGTTTGACATATGATGAGTAAGAGTTCAGTCAGAATGGCTCTAGATATGATTGAGTAGTATTAAAATGCGTTCTAAACACATGCTGTCTTTATTTGAGATGAGACCCTCACTACTGCCTACCCAGAACTGTTCAGAATATTACAAAATTGGGAGGGTTTAAAACCACTTTATTTTCCCCTTCCCTTTGCTGCAAGCTGCTCGGTGCCCAGTATCTCATTTGTAATACTTCTGGTGTTCAGTCAATGCTGCAATTCTGTTTTTATTGGTGGATGTGTTCTCACATATGCAAATATAAAGACTGTTAGAAATACAGAAGTATAAACCTACTACCAAAGAAAAAGGCACAAAGATCATACCTATAAGACTATTAAATAAAGCTGGCTTCCTAGGCATCTGAGGAGAGAGACACATTGAGTTAGGAGCAATAGAACAAGCCAGAAAGTGAGTGTCTTGGTGATATGGATGCTACTTAATCTGTGATGTGGGGGGCTTAAACGCTGTTCTGGGAAGCAGGGGAGATGGGTTCTAGGCCATCCTGTGACTGAGAACCTGGGTCTCCTGCTTCTAGTGTGAGTACTCCAACCACTGGGTTATTGGGCCACAACATTGTGGCATGGCTCAATTGTTGTCTACCAATCACTAATTTGTTTGTCATGTACATGCAAAAGTGTCCTGGGAGATCCTATTTTGGTAGTGGGTAAAATAGAATTGTAAACTGTATAAGTGCCAAAAATAGCACTTATATTCTGGGTAACTGCCATTTAAGCACATAAAGTGAAATAGGATATAACCCTAATAGACTTATGAAGTGTATAGCAAAGCAAAGCACCAAACCTAGATCTCCCAAGCCACAGCCAGCTCCCAGGCTACTGGATCATCCTTCCTCTGTAGCTGCACCTCATATTAGACTAGGGTCAGACCCTTTATGAACTATTTGAGCTTGTCTTGTGGGGTAGGTACTTGACTGCAAGAAAGGCATTTAGGAATCAACCTCCCCTTTGGATGCAGAGACCAGTGGTCCATAACATGAGGGATGATGCTGACTGCTAATGAGTCCTCTGACAAAGTTCAGACTGTGTGTGTTTGATGGGTCATGGCTTCTTCAATTATTAGTCCTCTTAGGAGGAGCATGGAGGTGCACAGAGATGTGGTACATGTGTTGTCACCATGCTGCATCTTCTGTTCGCCTGGTGTTAGAAAAGTCCTCTAGCTGTTATACCCTAGTAATAGCCACTGCCATCCTGATTTTCATCCTGCTTCCGTTCAGGTGACAGTGCATGTTTAGCTGGAGAGAGCGCACAATTAGGTAACTTTTTCTTGGCAGGATATGCTGAAGCTTTCTGTGCAGGGAAGGAGGATAATGAGGTTACTTGTGTAGAAACTAGTGTCAATTCCAGTGGAGCAGTTATCTGTTTTGGTTCAGAAAATTCTCTGTTAGCTCTGGCAGATTTTCATAGAGGGAGTGTGGTAGTTGTCAAAGGTAGTACAAATAGGGCTACCAGCTATGGAGATGAACAGGACATCCCCTCATAGATGATTTCTGGAGCACTCTCCCAGTATGGAGTAGAAATACTAGAGAACTTCCTGGCAAATAGGAGGGCTTTGTTGGTGCCTCCTGCCAAAATGCCTCTTATACAGACAATTTCTTGTTGAGTGACCTATTACACCATGTCACTGGCATTACACATCACTTCCTAGATTGTTTTTGGGACATGGCCCAGGGCAGAGTTCCCATGTTCTGGGGGACAATTAAAAATGTCCCAGTGATGAAGCAACATGACTTTGCCCATAAGAGAGATGAGTGCATAGATAAAAGCAGTGCTGGCACAGAGTCCTGGTGTTCTGCTCTTAAAGTAAACTAAGATTTATGCTTTGAGAATTTCTCACTGGAGTGTCCCATGCTGGGATATGGGAGTCCCCCCTCAATTCCCTAATTGAGTCTTTCCCTTTCATGCCCAAGTTCTAGGGGAGACATCTTTAGGCAGATATGACACTATGACAGCATTTCTATTTCCAGGTTGGAGGGTTCAGCACATGATGTGATCAACCTCTTGCTGCTGTGAAGCAAGCCAGTTGTGTACCTTGTTTCCTGGCTTCAGGTAGAGTAGTGAGTGTGCCAGTCTTTGAGCTACTGGGGTTGTGTAACATGCTCTCAATGTAAGGTAGTTTCAAGAAGGGCATTCCAGTTCCCTTTATGTTGGAGAAGTAGTCAGGCTTTGTGACTCAGCTCAAGCCTGCTTTTGGGGCTGGTTGATTTTGGTGTCTTTAGTAAGGCATACACACTTTCTAACTTGGTTGAAAATCTAATAGAATGAAAAGGCTTCTTCTAATCAGAGCAAATAATGTGTACTTAAGTGCAATTAAATTCTAGACTAACATATTCTTGATAAAAAATCTGTCTTCTTTACTGAAGGAAAACATGAGCCAATCTTGTAAGGCCATCGGTCCATTACAGCCACATCACTTCATAGAATCATAGAAGTAGGGTCGGAAGGGACCTTGTAGATCTTCAAGTCCGACCCCCTGCCTGGGCAGGAGGAAAACTGGACTCAATTGACCCCAGTCAGGTAGGCATCAAGCCGCTTCTTAAAGACCCCCAGGGTAGGAGCCAGCACCGCTTCCCTTGGAAGTTGGTTCCAGAACTTGTGGACTCAGACTATTCAAAGTATCTCTTTAGTTTCAGTGGCTTGCCTGTCTGAACATAAGAAAAGCACTCCTGTTTCTCCAGCTTTTATATATTGGAATCTCTGTTCATGGGAAACCTAGGAACAAAAAAGCAGATCAGGATGCAATTACATTGTTACTAATTTTGCATAGTGCTTTTCTATATTCTGCTTGACAGTAGCTATTGTTAGTTCTTAATTTTCATGACAATTGAATTTACACACAAAATCAACAAAGAAGAAATTTGCTAAGACTTGTATACGATGATGAAATCCAAAAGGAAATGTTTTACTATGATTGTCTAGATCTGAAAGCATTCTTTACTATCTTGTACACAGGAGCATACGTTTTGAATTGTGAATAAAGCTTGCTTCATAGCCTAGACAATCAGCATACTTCTCAACACTGGTAACAAACTTGTAGTAAGAGGAGGAGCCTAGCTCAGAGGTAGTGTGGGTGGGACTAATACATATTAAAGTTTTGGCATGAGAGAAAGAGTTGTCAGAGTTGAAGGTCTATTTCTAAAAGATTAATCCAAGGCTGTGATTTTTAAAATTTAAGATGCTAAGAGTTGATGTTCAGATTTTTATTATAATAATTTTGGGGACCTCTGATTGCCAGATAATTCCCCGGATTGAAGAATGTGGACTTGCCTGCTCTCAGGTAAACTGTATCTGCTATTAATATATGCTACTAAAATATTTGTAAACATCTATATGGTTCATCTGCCTTAAATAACATCCTTAAAATTGCTGTAATTTTGAAGTGCAAAAAATTATGTATGAAAATTAAGTATGGAAAGTTGACATCATCCAGGAATAACTCATTAAGAAACTTTTAATGTACAGCATTACAATTTTTTCCCCTCAGCCTATTATGTATTATGGGGGTAGTGATAAAAAGTATTTAATTCCTTTTAATTACTTGAGTAACACAATTCTTATAACTAGACTAGTTTAATGGGTACTGAAGGTGGAATTTTCAAATGTGCCTAAATGTTTTATGAGTACAAATCCCATTCATTTGCACAAGAATAAACAATTAGAGTCGGATTGTTAAATCTCTTCTTTGTTGGGAGAAGTGCAATGTCACTTCTGTTAATTTTAATGAGTTACATTGTGACTAAAAGAGAGCATGTATTCCTTGTAATAACTTTTCATTTTGTATTGTTTCCCTGTATGCCCACATGGGGGCAGTATAAAGATGTTCTGATTTTATAGATTCTAAAAAAAGTAGTAGTAAAAATTCTAAAATTAAACACGAAATTATTAGATGATTGAAATGAAAATAGGATGCAATGATAAGGAAATTGTGCTTACCTATACTTGCCATGTTGACATTAACAGTTCACTTGTTATTGAGAAGATACAATTTGGTGCCATGAAACCAGCATTGAACTGTATGAACAGAGGTCCTGACTGAAAGTGTCATGGTGTTGTGAACCCTCTAGGGATGGGACTAAGACATACATTAACAAGCTTCATCAATATTGTTTAATGATAAAGAATGATGAATATGAAATACAGCGCTAATTTGCCTCTTGTTTTACACAAGACAATATAAAAGTGCCAGTAAGATAAAGCACAGTGAGAAGCCACTACCATATTTACAGTTTTTGTTTGTGATTCTGAATCAATATTGTATCTGTTCCTTACCTGCTCACATATTATGTTATCATTGCATTTTATTCATGTGAAAAGAGGGATTTTTCAGAAAGAACTATATATTTTACAACTATAAAAATGCATTTTTAAAACTTTTCTACCTGCATCCATTTTTGGCTTCCTTTATCCTGCCAAACTGGGAATAATAATCACTCCTGGCATGTAAAACAATGATAGTATTATGTGTTTAAAGTATTGTCACAAAACTTTTTCTAACTAACACTGAAGTCTAGGATGATTTTAGAAATAAATCATATATTTTTGTTTAGATACATTGAAACTGGTTTACCAGAATAGTGGTATCAATTTAAAGGTATCTGAAATTGTTAAACAGCATGATTCAGTACATTTGCTGAAGGTGGTTTTTTTCTGCTGGTTTGTTCAGTATGATTCTGAATTTATTATTCGCTTTTAAGACAAACATGTTTTCTTACTAAGACAATCACTCCTCTTGGAGTTGGGACAAATTGGCTCAGGTTTTCTCTCACTTGGTCAGCACTGCCAAGATAACATTTGCAACTAACATTTGCAAGATAACTGGTGCATGGCATTAGAGCTATATGACCAGAGACCTGGGCTTTCCATTTCCCATGGAAATATGAAGAAAACTGCAGATTTTCCCCTTTACCTGAGGAAAACGTGGATTTTTCATTTTAACAGGAAAACCTACAGATCTTGCACTTTTGCAAAGAGCTCTCTGCAGGCTGGCAGAGTTCCAGCCTGCAAGAGGCTGGGTGGGAGCGGGAGGAGGGTGGTCAGGCAGGGGGCACCCTGTGCATGTATATGCGCATGGCTGCCCGGCAGCCTGAAGAGCAGCTCCAGCAGGTAAGTCTGGGTGGGGGGATTGAGGCCCCATAGGGAGGGAGGAAGTTTGGTAGGGCTGGGGCTGCTGCCTAGCTGGGGGGTGCATGGGGCTTGGGACCTGGGGCTGGAATGTGGGGAGCAGGATGGGGCCATGGGCAGCTCATCTGGGGGGTGGGGCTGGCTCCCTGCTGCTGTGCGCACTCCCAGGGGGCAGGGGGGACGTATGCATGGGGCAGGGGCAGGGCTGGGCACAGGCTGCCTGCTGTGGCTTGGTCTCCCTGCCCTGCTGCCCTCCTTTGGGGCCTCTGCAGCACAGCGGGTGTGACTCTGTGTGGCAGGGCAGAGCAGGGCCATGTGGGGAAGCTTGTTGCTTCTGCACACTGCACACTGGCCTGGCAATGCATCCCCTGCACGCCCTGCAGCAGCAGGGGCATTAGCATGGGGTTGTGTCCCTTGCTGCTGCTGTGTGGGCAGGGGATGCATTGCCAGGACAGCATGGAGCTTGCACTGGCAAAGACCTTCCCTGCATGGCCCCGCTCTACCCTCGAGTGCCATGTCACATCCGCTGGACTGTGGAGGCCCCAGGGGAGGGTAACAGGGCAGGGAGCCTGAGCCTGCAGTGGGCAGCCTGCTCCCACCCCTGCCCCCACCTCATGCACAGATCTGGGGGGCACGTGTCCCTCCTTCCTCCCTGGGAGAGTACGCAGTGGCAGGGAGCCAGCTGCACCCCCTGCCAGAGCCTGCAGCAGGCAGCAAGCAGTGGGGGATTGGGGGGGAGCCAGGCTCTATGTTCTGCTGCAGCAGCTGCTGCCTCCTGCGGGCAGCAGCCAGGGCTTGGGTGCTGCTGCGGGGGGCAGGATGCTACAGATCTGGGTTCCTGGCCCCATAGCCCTGGCAGCTGGGGGCCCCCTCTGGTAGGGCTGGGGGGCAGGGGGCCCTGGGTGTGGGATGAAGGGCACCATCAGGGCCAGGGGGCTGTGGGGGGGAGTGAGGGGCACCAGCAGGATTGCGGGGGCGGGGAGAAGTGAAGGGCACCAGCAGGGCTGGTGGGCTGTGGCTTGGGAGTGAGGGGCCTGGACCTGCAACCTGGTGAGCTAAAGGAGTAGGGGGAGCTCTGATATTCCATGCTGATTTTCCATGATAAAAAACCCAAAATCAAATACCAAAATTTATAGGTATTTAGAATTTATTTTATTATAGTGATTGAGGCACTGGTAGGCTTCCAAATTGCTTTAAAATTGTAAATATATCAAGAAAACATTGTGTTCAATTGTTACTTATATACAGGTTTTCCTCGATTTATGCTGTACAAGTGTTCCTGGAGAATGGCGTATAAATTGAATTCACGTAAGGTGAACCCTGCCTGTCCCCACTCACTTCTGCTCCTGGGTTGTGCCGTGCCCTGGTGCAGGCAGCTGGTGTCGGCTGCTCCTGGGTCCACTGCAGCCAGGACTGGAGTGAGTGTTGCACCCCACGCTGCCTGGGGGTTTTCTTGTCTGCACCCACCCCAGCCCATGCTGGAGTGGCCCCAGGAGCTGCCAACACCAGCTGCCTGCACCATGGCACAGTGCAGCCCAGGAGCTGGAATAAGCCCAGGCATAGGGGACAGGTGGAGCACGGTGCAGCCCAGCAGCTGCAGGCAGCTGGCACCGGCCACTCCCGGAGCCACTCCAGCACAGACTGGGGTGAATGGGGCCGCAGCTCTTTCCCCTCCCCCCACAGACTTACCTGTTTGGGGTGGGGCATCTATGCTGATCGCCTAAAAGCGAATTTACGTCGCATATAATGAATTATGCGTCTAAATATGCTCATTGCATAAGAGTAAATTTGCATATAAAGAACCCGCATAAATCGAGGGAAACCTGTATATAGTGGACTTCCATTTTAATCATGGATTTGGGGGTTTTAATCAGAGAATTAGCAATTTTTTTATCAGGGAAACCCAGGATCCCTGTATGAGACACTTGCTGATTTGGAGAATTCCAGAGGATGCTTTTAGACCAAATCCTCTTTTTCTTTGAAAGCTTTCTCAGTGTTTTCTCCTCTAGACCCACACAAGTTGTGACCCTTTTCCCACTGCCATTGCAACTGCCTCAAGTAGAAACAACCTATCTTGTGTAACTGTCTTTACATGGGGACACATGTAACCACTGAACTGTTCCAAAATATCAGTGATTGGGAATGAGTTAAAAATTGTCACAGGCTTGTGCAGGCTCCAGGTGTGTCCCAGCCCCCTCTGGCAGCTAATCATGCTACAAACTAGTGAGTCTGTGAGGCTGAAGGGGGACCTAACAGCAGCCTTCAAGGACCTGAAAGGTGGTTACAAACAGGATGGAGTGAGACTGTTCTCAGTGTTGGCAGATGACAGAACAAGGAGAAATGGTCTCAAGTTGTAGCAAGGGAGGTTTAGGTTGGATATTAGGAAAACCTCTCATGAGGAAGGTAGTAAAACACTGGAACAGGTTACCCACAGAGACTGTAGAATCTCCATCCTTGGAGGTTTCATCTAAGACCCATCTAAACAAAGCCTTGTGTGGGATGATATACTTGGGGATGGTCCTGCTTTGAGCAGGGGTTTGGATTAGATGACCTCCTGAGGTTCCTTGCTACCTTAACTTCCTATGAGTTAAAAAATGACTGTTCAACTTCTGGCCCTCAGCCGTGCCCTGCACAGGTGCACATTGTGCCTAATATACTATCAGGGCCCCATGCCTTGCACGCTATGCAACCTGGACAAACCATGTGTGTCCCCTTGCTGCACTGTGTCAGTGCCCCTGCACTGTGTGGGGTCCTTGGGGCTGCTCCACCCCATCAGGGATGGGGGTACAGGAAGTGGAAGCTGGAAAAAGGAGGGAGAACTGGAGGCTCCAGAAATGGTGGGAGTAGTGCCAAAATTAGGAGCTCAGGGGCCTTAGGTTAACCCCGTGGTGGCTAAGTGCACCTCACACGCAACCAGTTGGACAGCCCTGAGTTAAAAGAAAATCAGTATGAGGGAGTCTTGGCTTTTGAGGTTAGCAATTTACAGAATCAGGCTCTTAAGTGGATACTGGCAACTTAAATTTCATGTTTCTGTTTAAATCTTTTTGAACCTGCTTTTTTTTTTAAGTAGCCTCCAATGATGAAATTGTAGAGAAATGCTGTTTTTTGTCTGAGTGCGTTCAATACCACTTACAGTAGTGTCACTGGCTGACTGTG